AAAGTTCTAATACCAATGTATATGGCTTATTTTTAGCATAATAAAAGCCAGTAAGCAACTTGCATTTTTAAGAGACATTGCTGAGAAGAAAGATAGAGTGTCTGCAATATTCATAAACTATCCAACTCTCACCAGAAATCACCTAAAAAGGTTTCTAGGCATTCTTATGAGCAGATGACTATTTGTGATATATATATATATATATATATATATATATATATAAAGGGTTATAAAACTTCTGAATTCTAAAATTCAACCCCATAATTGAGAAATTTATATAAGCTATAGATTATATATTATAAACAAATATACACTATCTTGCAAACCTTGAAATCTTTAAGAAAATATACCATAAAACAGGAGCTGTAAACTCAAATACTTCTAGGGATGAAGGAGATTACATAAGTAAGGGAAGGACTTAGGTGGGCACAGTAGCAAACAGGAGAATATGTGCCTCCTATGCAGGGGCAATCTCTGGACAGCAGACCAAACAGTGACATGGCTTATGCGACTTCAGATTTGATTCTTAAGACAAGCCTGAAGTCCAGATTTCTGCATGAGTCTCCTAAACTTTATATGTTTACTCAATTTAAGGAATCAAAGAAACAAATCTATGTGCCACGTTTATACTATAGCCCTTGTGTTTTCATATTTGATATGAATGTGTTACTAAATGGTTGTGTATAAACTAAGTATTTGCAAGTGCAGTTTTTTCTTTCTCTAGCATCATATGTTTTACCAAAAAAATCAGGCCCTGATATGTATGTATGTATATATGTAAATAATAAAAATTGCTGTTAAGACTCATAATACGCACCTCAAGGATTTTCCCAACATTTATTTATTCACATTCTGTTCGTATATCATATTCCCAGATTGTTAACCAAATAGATAATTTGTTCATGGGACTGCTGAAACTAACTTATTAAAAGAATTCCTGTTGTTATTCTCAGTGACTTCATGAATTTCAGTGTTTAAAACTGACATTCTGATTATGCCAAAGCTCTGTACACTTAACAGATTATACTGAGATAGTCCATATGAAAACTTCAACTGAAAAAACGGGTTAGGATTTGCTACAAATCTAATTGAGAAAACCTCACTTGTAATGAAGATTTTTTGACACATAACCACCTGAATGGTGACAAAGAAACATGAAATTGTGAAAGGATCAGCCTCTACTTATTGAAAGATCACCCGCAAGCAAATTCCTAAAGATTCTCTGAATGGTAGTAAATGATTTATGGTGGGAACAAAACGGTGATATTCTTAAGCTGAGAGAGATATTACCAATAATATTTTCTTTCAATTCCCAGTCACAGATGTAGAGAAAGATAGGTAAGTCAGGCTGATATTATTGGAAAAATGCCAACTTTTAGAGATTTCTTATGGTTTTAAGATATGAAGAATTTATACACGGCACTCATCTATTCTGTGATACTTAATTAGGAGTGTATTCAAATCTAGACATTTTTTTTGCTGTTGTTGTTTTAGACAAGAGTCTCACAATGTTGCTCAGGCTGGACCCAAAGTCCTAGCGTCAACCAATCCTCTCAGCTCAGACTCCTAAGTAGCTGGGACTGGAAACATGCAACTGTGAATGACTTCAAAAAATATTTTTAACTATATATGTTCAGGCCTTATTAGATCTATTACATCAAAATCTTCAAGAGAAAGCTTATACTTGTAGAGTTTTTACAAAATTTCCCCAGGTCCCTGTAATGCACAATTCTAGCTGAGAATTAGTGTAGCTGACAATCACTTCGGTTTCATCGCTCACCCAAACAGCCAAAACCCTTTATCAACTTGGGATGTGGCCAAAAAGAGAAAAGAGTAAGACTCTTTTATTAAAATTCCAGTTAATTTTCCTGGGTATGTGTAGAACAGGGACACGTAAACTCAAAATCCCACTTGATTTTGCTATTTATAAGCTCCTTATCTCCCACCTTCACACCAAGACATTCCAAATTTGAAAGGAGGCTTCAATTCTTTTCCAAGTGGCTGTTTCTGCCAGCTTGGGTAATAAGTCAATTACTAATTTGTTCCACCCTTTGCTGAAGTTTTTCTCACTTTGTCACCACCTATTCACTGTCATTCTGGTTTCCTCAGAGTCCTCTAAAAATTGATCTTTAGGCAAGTTTCAGTCACAGTCTTTACCAAACCAAAACTGATTACGCAAAAGCTGAGGAGAGCTTTGTCTCAATACATAAACTGGAAAAACAACAAACTAAAAAACAAAACCTCTGCTTTATATTTTCCCCTCCTTACCTAATTTCCAAGTGACCTGTATGTTTCTGATTGCTCTCCTTTCCCTTCCCATTTTTTCCTCTTAAGCCTTGCCACTAAAATATACATGTTTTGTTTTGTTTTGTTTTGTTTTGTTTTGTTTTAAGAAAATTGTCAGCAGCAGCAACATTTCCATTTATTGTAAGTTGCTTTAGTTTTGTTTTGGGTTTTAAAATAAAGCCAATTTCCAGGGTAAATTTTTTTTCCTGTGTTTTCTTACACTAATTAGAAAAATAAAACAATCCTGGGGCAGGAAACAAATATTTG